TGACTTCGCCTAACCGTGAAGCTGGATTCATACGAGCACCCGCCTCCCCTCACCCACTCGCCGCGCGAATCCACCGCAGCGAGCACTCCCATCACCACGCCTGTTGACCACCCCTCATCACCGCACTTTGGCCGTGTCAACAAGGACTCCCCCGCCACCCTCGTCAACCTCTGGCACCGCAAGCCCCACGAGCTTGCCGCTAGCCGCCAACCAGACGAGGACGTCTTGTTCGAGGACGCGGGCGACTGCAGCTTTTCGCTCTTCCCCCAAGAGCCTCAAGTTCACGCCGGCTTCGCAGACATGGCTACTGCCTCGCCCATTGACATCCAGACGCCCCCGCGCTATGGCTCAAACTCTCCCCCAAACCAGACCTCCAACCTCACTTCTGCCCTCAAGCAGGCAGAGGCCCAGCCAGACCTAGCCACCACCCCAGGCCTGCTGAATCCTAACAATTTCGACTTCAACCACAATGCCCGTCCCAGCATCAGCGAGCGCCACCCCTCCATCAGCATGCTCGGCTCCTCCTTTTACGGAAACAGCGGCGCCAGGCCCATCACCATGAAGGATCGCGGGCGTCGCGAGAGCACAAACATGGGCAGCTTCGCCGGCGGCATGAGTTGGGGCGGCCACTCGGTCGGCTCGTGGATTCGCGATGAGTAAGTTACCCCCACCCACTTTCGGGCCGCCACAACAAAACCCGACTAACACGTTTTCCGCAGCATCATGATGGGCACTTCACCCGCACCTTTTGCCAACAACTCGCCTTCGTTCCACTCGTCATCATATCTGCCCAAGATGGAAGCCGCCTTTATGAAGGATTTTACTTGCTGTGGCCTCACTCTCGCCTCGCTGCACGACCTGCTGCAGCACTTTGAGGAGACGCACGCAAACGCGCCTGCCGCCCGCCCCCAACAGCCCCCCACAAATGGCTTCACCTCTGCATCCGGTGCGTCCACAAACTCGATCGCGCCCAGCCAGACACAGGGCGATGCACCTTTCAACACCCAAAATGGCTTCCAACAAAGATCAGGCTCAGTCGGCGCACACCGCCCACGGATAGGCTCCGTCAGCCGCTCCAACCTGTCCACTGTACAGGACATGGATTCGCTGGACGACATGGACATGGATGACATTAATTTTGACACACTGGGCTCCATTGATGAGCAGCAGCAGCAGCAGCAACAGCAGCAGCAGCCCATGCAGCAGTTCCCAGTACAAAATCAATTCAACCAGAACCAGAACCAGCAGTCAAATCTCAACGTCAACGTCAACATGGCCAACAACATGCAAAACCACCAAGGCATGAGGACATCAACACCAAACACGCCCTCAGCCTCGCAGCAATTCAACCTTCAGAACAACCCCACCGTGTCTTCGGTCAACACGCCAACAATGGGCACCATGCCCATGGCAAACCACAACTTGACCTCGCCAGAATCCTCACACCCCGGCACTCCAGCCGAGCTTGACATGGATTTTGGCGGCTTCAACCCAATGATGGGAATGGACATGGGAATGCCCATGGGCATGAACTTCAACGGAAATGGCAACGGCAACTTTGGCATGGCCGCTTTTGACAACAACGGCACAATCGACCAGCCGGGCAAGCGTCTGTTCAGCAAGCAGGGTGGTGGTCTTAACCAAGCACAGCTGCAAGCAGCTCTCAAGAACTACCAGCTCAGCGGAAACGACCAGAGCGAAATGGCCAGGCGGTTACGGGAACAACAGCTCCTCAACGGTGCCAGCATCCCCCAATTCCCATTCCCCGAAGAGGTCAAGCCATTCCGATGCCCGGTTATTGGATGCGAAAAGGCGTACAAGAACCAAAACGGTCTCAAGTACCACAAGCAGCACGGCCACCAGAACCAGCAGCTCAAGGAGAACGACGACGGCACATTTTCCATTGTCGATCCCCTGACCTCGATCCCATACCCCGGCACAGTCGGTATGGAGAAGGAAAAGCCATATCGCTGCGAAGTCTGTGGCAAGCGGTACAAGAACCTCAACGGTCTCAAATACCACCGCTCCCACGCACCTCACTGCAACCCCGAGTTGGCCATGCAGAAGCTTGGCCTTACTGGAAACCTTCAGAATCTGCAGAATGCCAATGTTGCGGGTGCTGGAATGGGTGGCATAGATCCTTCCATGTTCTAAGCCACATATGCCTTGAACTTTACCTCTACTTCTCCTAATACCCATTTTCTATCATCCAAGACGAAAAGGTCACGACTGGTTTCACCTCTTTCGTCATCTGCATCTCCTGGCGTTTCTCGGATTGGGAGAATCTTTTCATTCTCATCTCCTACCCCCAAGCCAGCCAACCCTGGTGTTTGGATACGAAAAAAAATGCCCGCCGGCCAGCCACATGTTTCGATTCATGTACATACATCTCTCGAGAGGTGCATCTTCCTTTACCAACACGCCACGCTTGGTATCACGATTTGATGCTCATTACCAGAGGTGAATGAGTGGCCATGTCCTTTTATTTGTTTTTTTTTACGCGGAATATATCCCCTGGGTCATCATTGTCATTTTCTGTCTGTCTCCGACTCTTTTTCTAGACTTTGGGTCTTTGTAACAACGGGCGTTTAAATCGCAGTCACAAAAAGTTATCAAAACAGGTCTACGCTTATGCGCTGTGTTTTTATTTGTTTCTTTCAGTATGATATAGTTTATAGACTTGGAGGATTTTCTTGTCAGCCAGTCAATCAGTCAGTCAGTCAGTCAACAATGGGGATTTCAAGAGGGGTCTCTCTAATACTACGCTCTACATGCTCTCCACCTCGATTCAATCCGTCTTCCGCTCCTCCCGTCTCGTCACTCACCGTCATCGCCTTCTGGCCGCCGTTTCAACACGCAGACAACAGACCGAGTAAGCAACAGAATGGAAAAAGTCCATCCCACGTATCAACACGTTGCTGTTACAAGTTACAAGGTTCTTCCATGTTCACTCGAAGGACCACGAGTCCTCTTCGGCCAGGGTGGCGTTACGGCCGTTGGGCCAAGAGTCGGCAATCGAAAAGCATCAACACAGCCAAACGAGAGCTAGCACAGCTGCTCAGCTAGTCGACGACACACGAAACACACGTGCGTTCTTACTGACTAACAGCATGCCCAACTCGGAGCAATGATAGCCCACAAATGTATTCGTGCCCATAGCGCACATGCGCCTTGCCCGCACTCAGGGTCCTTTAAGCGGCACGTCCACGCACGCACGTACGCACGCACATGTATGCAATACCGCACGTGTGTCTATGACTCGCCTCACGTCTGGCTTGCCAAGACACGACTTCATGTTACCTCCCCACGCTACTGTTACTAGACTGCCCGTCGCAATAGCCGCCGACGGGCTAGACGGCCTGCATGACATGCATTTTGTGCGCCCCAACTGCCTCTTTGGGCATGACGGCTGTCACGTGTGGGCGTTCTGGTGGCTCTTGTGTCTGGGTGTGGTTTTCTTGGCCGTATTTGGCCGAGACTATGGCCGACGAGTCAAGTGTTCAAGGAACGGCTGGAGAAGGGTTAAGCCCTGGGAATAAACGGCTAGAATAGAGTAGATTGGGGAGATTTGAAATGGGAGATTTAGTGGCAAATGTCTTTGTTTTGCGGGTTAGGGAAGGGTAAAAGGTACCGAGGCTGCGGATCAGGGTACACGGAATATGTAGATGAGGGTTTCACCAAGTATTTACAAGGGCAAAGGGATGTGGGTAAAAGGGTCCACGCGTAAGATGGATAGAATAATTATGGGCACCTTTTTTTTGGTCGGATAAAAACATAATAGTCTAACTCGTCCGTGAAACATGGGCCCTTTCCTATTACTATTACTACTTCTTCTTCTTCTCAAATTCTCACCTGCATCAAGGTAAATCCACAACAAAGTGTGTAACACAGACACATCAACACACACCCGAAAACCAACCCGATACTACCCATCTTGCTTTTTTTTTTACCTCTCTCCCATCTCTCTAAAACCCTGGCTATACGTAGCTACACATATAATGTCATGCACGCAATTATCCCACTATGCAAGGATCCTAACCAAGCCACGTGCGCCTGTAGCGCTACGTGCGGGAACGTAGAAAAATAAAGGATACTTTCTTCATTCCTTTTGCGGCAGGGAATGCTGTTTGTAGGGACAGAAGGCTCATCTTTTGTGAGCACGAGATTTGAATACAGAGAGATGACAGAGTAAGCATAGATGTTTGAATGTGGTGGGCTTTTCCTTCTTTCTTTCCTTCCCTCTGCACAAGGCCCAAGCTCCCCACATCTATCCCCATAGCCCCTCCATCACCCCACCAAATCGTACTTTTAACCGTCATTTCCGGACCTCATTCTTGAAATCGTGATCGTGAGTCCAAATCGTCCGGTTGCATAGTCCTGTTTCTTGCTTTCTTGCTTGGGCATCCTTGCATGCTCGCAATCCTCACCTAATCTACCTCCCCTACCTCATCATCTCAATATCATCTAGATATATTTCCTGCATCCATCTCTTCCCTACCCAATCACCGCGATCTCGCAAAGCCACACAGCACTACTTGCGAGCGGACACGCTTCATCCCGCTCCGCTTACATCTGTTCTCCCATCCCTGTTCCCCGCCCCCGCCCCCGCCAGCCACCGCGCACCCCAAACAAGACATTCCTTTGGTACACACTTGTAATCGCCAACGGAAATCATCTAGATTTCGCAAATCGAGTGCGCCGTGCGCTTATGCAATGCACCGTCAGCCGTTTCACTACGCCACCTGGAGAAAGAGTGAGATAGGAAAGCGCAAGGGATGAGATAATAGTAATAGACCTCGGGTGCCACCTGGCTTAGTAGTACTAATGCCACACACGCTGTTTCCTTGGCTCTTGCGCTGATAACCCTTTTGTCAACTTGTCCTCAACCAACCTCGTGATTTTCGTGTTCCAAAGATATATGAGGTGTGTTTCTGGGGATTGTAGTAGTACACCTGACCCCACACGCTTCCCCGTTTTTTTTGTCGTGTCTTCCAGTACAAATGGCCACATACGGTACGTTTGGTGGGGACGCGGGACGGCATCCCGTGCCTAGATCTGAGGCGCCATGGGAGAAGCTAAAGGCTGAGTCGTATTCCCTTTTCTTGAAGCTGAGCGATTTGCCCAAGGGGACGTATGATGAGTTTGAAGCTTCGTGGGCGGACAAAGAGAATGGCGAGTTCAAGGGCGGGCTGGGCGCGGTGATTATAGTGAGGTACACTGAGACGCCTGTTGGTATGTTTGACATCTCCTTTGATCCCCAAGATTCCATCGTCCGAAAAGGCCATCGTATTTGTAAAGAGCAAGGGAGGTCGGATCCGCAAAGCTCCATACACCTAACCCCCCCCCCCCCCCCGCACTCAACTCATTCTAACCAAACCCCCCTCCAACAAGGCCCCTACGACGAAATCATCTTCGTC